TTCTTAGAGCCAGCATCTAAACTTTTACTTTTTAACATAGAAACTATGGATTAAATGAATCTCAGAAATTTCAAATCCCCTGTTAAGAAAGGATCATCTATTCCCAGTGAAGAAAGCTTTTCTAAAAGTCTAAGATTTCTCTTTAACTAAGCAATTTTTATTACATCTATCAAGTGACTTCTATCTGGGTATACAAATATAAGTCACCTGTTAAATGAATCCAAATTTTATGGACAAGTAGATCCTTAAGTCAGGGGAGAGAAGTTTAAGAAGAGTAGTTTCACCTGGAAAGAAACCTAATGACATGGTAATGTGTCTAACTAATTTTCAAGAAATAAAAATTAGTAGCTTATTTAGTTTAGCAAAACTGAACTGGAAAAACACCTATTTTTACTGAGTTGGAAAAACACCTAGAATAGACCATATAGGGAGAAAAGCTCCAAAGTTTTCCAGTAGTGACTGACTCATAATACATGTTTCACTTTTTTAAAAAAGTGTGCTCCTAAATTGTTTTTCTAAACTGTAAGTTTTATCTGACTTAGATTCCTTTTAAACATGTCCTAAATGAAAAAAGGATCCTGTATAGAGGAAAGAAATTGGCTATAAGGAATAATGAAATTATAATAGAAATGCAGAAAATTGTTATGTAGCCAAATTGCATATTTTTGATTAAAATATTATAGTTTTATGATAAAATAATCTGAAGTACTGGCTTTTTATTTCATGGACAACTGAAAATTTACTGGGTATAATAGAGTGTATGTTTATGTATTTTAATATTTTTGTTTCATGCAGATAAACTCAATATGGGTAGATTAAAGATGAATCCCCTTTTCAGTGATGATAGCTGGACATGTAACAATAAATGTCATTTGCTTGTCATATGTTAATGCACATAATGCCATTATGCCATGTTGTTTTAAGCTTTCTGACTATTGGAATTGCTTTAAATGATCATACCAGAGAATCAAGGCATGGATCACTCACAAGAAGCACCAGTTATTAAAGACAAGGTAGGGTATGATATAAATTTTCTTTCAGATTTTGCTTTTTGAGCCCTAATCTGAGTCCTGATTTGCACATACCATTTCCAAAATATACTATGAAGCAAGATATTGTCAAGATAAAGGAAATCTGCAAATGTCTTATAAGATTCACCACTGTCTATAAGATTCATATTAAGTTCTTAGTCAACTTAGTATGAAATCCATGTTTTATCTTACATAAGTATTTTAATGACCAGGAGCTAAGAGTAGGGATAATTGCTTCCAATTTAAAGAGAGGAGACAGTCCTTTAAACTGTGGTATTGATAGTAACAGAGATATCGCAAAGGAGTTCTTTTATTTTGATAATTTATGTATCTGTGTGTTAGAGCTACACATGTTTTTATAATCTTTCAGATAATAGTATAATCCATGAATTTAAAAGCATCAAGATCTCTTGAGAATGAAATGTGGTCTAAAAACAATTATTGGCATAGGGATATTAACTGACCAGAGTTATCTAGTAACCAGAAAGTTTAATGGATTTAACAAATATAAGAATATCCAACTTTATTTCAAACCTTGGAAATGAGAATACTTTAATTTTGACATTTTGTGTGTGTGTGTGTGTGTGTGTGTGTGTGTGTGTGTGTAGAAAAAGTGGCATGCAGAGCAGAGGTGCCAGGGAGGGGGTGGTGAGAGGGGGTGGTGAGAGGGTTCACCAGAAACAGTGTAGGGAGCAGAACAGGTGTATTTTTACTGGAATACATAGCTAAGGGGATCACCATTTTTGACTGTCCAAAAGTGTGGAAGTTAAGGAGCAGAGAATCTCTATATTTTAAAAAATACATACACATAAATACCCCTTTGTCACCAGATGGCAAGTAACATGGCATTTGGAGGATTGTTTTTTAATTCCGAGGTCACTAACGTATATTTTAGGATCCTTGGCACTTTTCCTGCCCTTTGCCCTTTTCATTTGTTAGTGTGAAAACTAATTTTAGTTTTTGGTTCTCTAAGATTATCTTGTTAATTATACTGAGCATATGAAATCCTGACAAATCTTAAACCCTGTGTGGTGAATACATATTTTTTGCTCAATCTTTTTTTTTTTTAATTGTTATATTGAACTAACTTACACTGGAAGACCAAAGTCAGTGTATGTTCATTTTGAGTTGGGATTGGTGATCATCCACAAGCTACCTGGTAAGAAGGTTGATTGGAATGTGCAGTCAAAGCTGTAGAAGACAGCTGAAACAAATATTTTCCTGATAAACAGTTTATAAAGGGCATTATTCTTTTAATAGTACAAATAATTCCTCTTGAGAGATATCTATTACCTTTTCCTGAGAGCAGTGTTTGACTTGCATCAACCACTGTGAATTCCAGTCTTGACAACATGAACTTCTTAAAGTAACTTAGGCCACATCTTTATGAATAGAAGCTATTTGGCTGTAAATACCATATGCATAAAATGAGAAAATATATGTTAAATTAAATGAATTTTAATTAAATGAATTTATATGGTATTCTTTTTCTAGAATGAATAAAGCTTTTTCCTCACATGTAATTCTGTAATGTAATCATACGTTAATTCCCATTCTTGATAATTTCTATTATTTTTGTAGGTCATAAAAATCCATCATGATCAAATTTTTGTCAACAAGTCTGACAAAACTGGAATTCCCTTCACCTACATTCTTGAGGAGAATTAACAATAATTAAGAGATATTTGGTACAGTATCTTAAGTTACAAATTATTTTTCCAGGTCTTATTTATTTTCATTGAACTCAAATAAGAATATTGATAAAAGGCGAACTGCTACTAAAAAAATGTAATCTTTAGTATGTAGGATAAAACCCCAAAGTTTACCCATAATGTTCAGAAACCTTATTTTAATAGTATTTCATTTTAAAAGAGAGTGCAGAATGTAGTGGTCTGTTTCAAATATTCTAATTAGAAATAGCTTTTTTCTTTCAGAAAAAGCAATTATAATATGCTGTTTTTTTGTCAGTGTTGTGTTAAGTTTGTGTATAATTGTGTCAGTGTTAAGTTTGATATAAATTTATTGCAGCTGGCCTTGTGGCATAGGTCCCCTAAGTAATTTATTGTGAGACTCCAGGGTATGCCATTTACCATCAACTGGCAAGTAATTTAGATACTCTTACTCTCAAGCACACAGGATGCCATACATATACGAGTCCAAATCGTTTTAAGAATATCTTCTCTTAGCTATTCTATAAAATTGTAGGACTGTCCTTTTACAGGATTTCCTTTTTTTTTTTAAAAAAAAAGATTTATTTATACAATCACTGGGTACAGTCAGAAGTACCAGAGGGTGAGAGAATTCACCAGAGACAGAGCGGGGAACAGAACAGGCAGGCTGATGAAGAAATACACTGCTGAGGTGAGCAGCGGGCGGCAGGAGAGGTCTGTCACGCCATGTGGGACCCTCCAAATGGCGCTGCAGAGGCTGCGGGCAGCTTTGCAGCCCAGGGCTCAACCGCTTCGCCACCAGGGGAGGCCCCCAGGTTTCCTTTTTTTAGAAGCAACATCATTAAAAATTCCTGCAAGCTCTAAAATGTGTTTGCTAAATTAAAACATTTTTAAGGTACAGCATGCAAAAATGAAAGGACAAATTCTTCCAGATGGAAGCAAAATTATCATGGTATGACTCAGAAAAATCAACCCAAATGATTAAATTTTCATTGAGATGAATTTTTTTTCCTAAGGTTCAGCCCCAATTGTACTTTTCTATCCAACTGAGTAAGTAAAAGCTAGTATATAACTTGACACTTTTTAGAACTAAAAATTCAACATATATAAACTGGTTTTACAATAACTTTATTTTTAATGTGCCTATTCAAAAATTTCTCTTAATAGACGATTTGGAAAAGACAACTTTTAGAAGGGTTGAGGATATCAAACAATGCAGTTGCTATAATGGCTACCATTTACTAGGTAATGCTCAGGATTATTCTTATAATCTTATATTTATCAATTGTAATCCTTATTATAACACTGCAAGGTACGTACTACAGGCCTCATTTAATTCATTGATGAGGAAAGAGAAGGTTTTAGAGTCTAAAATGCCTTACCAAGTTATAAAACTAGTACATTTGCTCAGCAGATATTTGACAGCCCTGTATCAGCCAGACATGCTGGGTCTGGCAATACATGTGTGTAGTAGAAATCTAAGATCTCCCTTATCAAATTGTTTATAATCTAGAAGTAAAGTCAGCATTTAAATATAGTAGTGCTGGATTCTAAAACTTTTCTTACCTTTTCCACACTGTTATGCTAAGAACACTGCAGAAGGTATGTGTAAATTGTTTCAGTGCCACTTAAAAACATGTGGATGGAAACTGTATGTGGAGTATGTTTTAGGACAGGAATATATGAGTATCAAGATATTCAATATACCTAGGAAAAAATCCTAGATACATGATGAGGAACAGAAAGTCTATACTGCATAAATCTTAACCTGTGATCACCTGTGAACTCTATGTAGTGTGATGGCAATGAAATGCACTTGCTTTTATATCTCATAGCCTTAAGGACCAGTATTACCTCAGTGTATAGCACTGACTAACATGATAGCCACTCTTGAGTACTTGAAGAAATGTGGTTAGTGCATCCAAGAAACTGAATTTTAAATTTTTTAAAATTTTAATTAAACAGATGCTTGATCTAGCTACTAGATCGTTTATGCATGTTTGGAACAAGTTGGGTGTGTGGATATTTTTTTCAACTGTACATTTGGAATTAAATGCAGAATATTTAAATTTTGATTAAAAGTTCGGTATCTGAATTGAGATGTGCTGTATTATATAATAAACCTGGATTTTGAATATTTAGTAGAAAAAAGAATATAAAATATCTCAAATTATTTTTAAAATATTGATTACATGTTGCAGTGATAATATTTTAGACATACAAGGTTAAATAAAATGTTATTAAAATTAGTTTAAACTATTTCTTATTAATCTTTTACTTTTTAATGTATCTTATTAGATTATAATACATTGTAGCTTGCATTATATCTATAGTGGACAGTGGTGTGTATAATCAAAGGAATTCTGATGAAAAGAGTCTGGTCTTTTATTTTTGGCCTCAAAATATTTTCCTCTATATCTCATTACCTTTTTATCAGAAGTTAGGCACTGCTCATCATTATTTTCAGTAATGTTAAGAATCATGTCAATACCTTGTCAATATTTTTTTCTGTAGTAGAAATATAAAAATTAGATACACATACACTTCTATGAATTGTCATTAAGAAAGTGTGCAAACATATTTATTTCCCAGGGTAAGTTTTTGAAAATAGCCAGTAATCATAAGTATTCTGTGGGACTATATTCCAGGTTTGACAGATTAGAGGAAGGAACCATATGTACTATACAGTATAAATACTGAGGAATAAAAGGAAACATAAAATGTATAAAAATAGAAAAAAAGATACAAACACAACATATTGTTTAGAATGTCAGAGATGTTTTTTTTTCTTGTCTTTCCCCTTTACTTCAAAAGTTACAAATACTTTAGAAGCAGCATGTATTGTTGCACTTTTAATTTTTTGTTGTATAGTTAATGAACTTGAGAGTCTGGATGATGGGTGATCTTCTATTTGGCCTTCCCACTCTTTTGTTTCTTCTTCCTTGATTAATAAAGGTTTTCCTAGGGTTTGGCCAACAAGGTTACAAACTTCTTGAGCTTTGCGCCATGCATTCTCAACAGCAACAAGACAGGCTTGCCGTCTTTGGAATTAAATGCAGAGATTATTAATGTGACATTTAATGAACTGTAACACATTATAATTTTGTTTAGTAATTGGTAATTGAATTAAATATGTGCTTAACTTACCGAAGATTCTCAATAGCACCTGTAGTATGATAGAACTGGGGTTGGCTGATGACAACAGAGCTATCTAGCTTTTCAACAAGAAAGTTGCAAATATTTTGCATTTTTCCAAATTCAGTAAATGTAATGGAGACCTATAAACAAAATGACATAAGATATTATTTTCATATCTGATGAATTAGTTCAAAATTTTCTCTAATCATGAGTAAAAAAAAAAGATTACAATGTCATTTTTATAGTATTTAACAAATAAATACTCATTTAATACTTACAAGTATTTTGTTATTCAAATTCAGTGTTTTTGCTCAAGAATCTTATAATTTATCTAATATTAACGTGAAAATTTTAAAATTTATTTAAAGTCAGTAAGGGACTTCTTGTGAAAGAGAATTGAAGGGTTTCCCTACATTGTAGGACTTCCAGCCTTCCCCAACCTAGAACACTTGGTGATCTAAAGATATATTAAGTCTATTTATTATTGGTCCATATAACCAATAGCTTAGTATGTCATGACAACAATGAAACTGAGATTCTCAGTCCAATTCTTAAATGGGTAGTTTTAATATAGAATGCTAACTGCTGTACTGCTATGGACCAAATGTGTCTCCTTAAAATTCATATGTTGAAGTTTTAATCCCCATGTGATTGTTTTTGGTGCTAGGGCCTCTATGGAGGAAATTAAGGTTAAATGGTATGATAGGGTTGGATCCTGACCCATGGCTTAGCGTCCATATAGGAGGAGACATGAGAACTTGTTTTCTGTCTTCGCACTGAATGATAGGGTGCAGTGAGAATGTAGTCACACACAAGCAAGGAAGAGAGCTCTCACCAGAAACCAACCATGCAGACACTGTACTCAGACTTTCAGTTTCCAGAACTGTAAATTCTATGGTTTAAATCATCCAGTCTGTAATATTTTGTTATGGCAGTCCAAGCATACTGATATAGGAACCAATCTCCATTCTCTTTTTCTTTAATGATAGAACTCATAAATTTTAGCTGGTCATTGACAATTTACTGCATTTCTGTTTTCCTTGCAGCAGTGTGGGCTAACTTCTGGCTAGTGAAATAAAAAGCAGCAGCAATGGGTCAGGTCCTTCAAAGGAATCCTCTATGTGCCCTTGTATTTTCTCTTTTCCTAATGGCTAATTAAAAGCATAGTGTAATTGTGGGAACTGGGCATCCACCTAGGATGCAGAGATAGAAGCTGTGGATAGCGATGCAGAACTGACCCCTATCTTTGGACTGACTACCTCTGACTGCTAAAGGAAAAACAAATTAACATTTAAGTCACTGAGCTTTTTTGGTTCTATGTTATAGCACCATAGACTGTTCCCTTATTCTGTTGCTTATTTTACTATATATTGTTAATTTTCAAGTATAGTCTGACATTACACATACATATTATTATTTTAGCATACAATTTCAATTTCCTTAAAATTCAGTATCTAAGATAGGGCCCTTTCTGCTATTATCTCAGAAAATTAGCTGTAGCACATAATTATGGTCAGAATATTTCCTCTTGGCCCTGAACAGCTATAGTTTAAAAATTTACCTTTATATTAGAGGCAGAAAAATCAATTGGGGGTAATTATAAAAATCTACAATTCCAAGCTTTACAGTGTAATACAATATTTATTTTGCTAATACAGTATGACTGACTGCAGATCCTTAACCCTGCTTAAATCTTAGGAAAGACTAAAGAGATAATTCAAATGGTAGCTAAACTGAAAATGAATCAGAATTATCATCTAGTTTTAAAAAAGGCAAGAGTAACGAACAAATATGCTCTATACATCTTTAAAACTATCTTTAGAGTCTCATGAAATTGCATGAAGTAGTCACAAATTATCTACCATCAAGCGGTAACTAAATGGTGACCGTCAGACAGAATGTACTATAGATGGTGGTCTCCCTTTCTCAAATATCTTCTCAAAATGGAGATATCAATATGTTGTACATGGGGTTAAAAAGAGCACAGGGGAAGTTATATAAAAGCAGGAAAAAAAGTCATCCTTTTTAAAAATTGGTTTCTACTTCTTAGGTAAGCTAAGAAAATGTACTAAATATACTTGTTTTTCATGAAATGATGAATATTTTAATTTTTTTGTGAATCTTTTTTATGTATTGTTGGTACTCCACTTTGCTAAAGAAAAAGCTATATAGAAGGAAGGACAGGAAAACCTGTTAAACAGCTTCAAGAAAAATATTAGTCTTTTTTTCTTTGACTCTCTCCATCCCTAAGTCATCTGAGGTGAATCTACTCTCAGTGAATCTGGTTTAGTATGTGGTACCTGCTTGCTCTCTATTATGACAGCAAATTCAACAGAAGGGAATGATATAATGCAAGCTCCAAAAAGTTAATTTAGTATTATGTGTGTTATTAGAAATAAACATTCTAGGGAGGAAGATAATCATCTTTAATATGACTGGCCAAATCACAATTAGAACACGACAGTTGTATGTTCTTTAGGATTAAATTGGTTAACTAAAGAGTTTGTCATTAAGATGAAGCCAAAGAAAAATGGCGATTCTTATTCCTAGAGAAAGAAAAACTAGCATCAATTTGATGCTGAATATCAAGAATATACTTCAAGGAAGATGCATTAACTTTGTTTTGTTCTTGGAGTGTTACACTTTTAATAGTGGAAAGTACTAGTGAGTCAATATTGGTCTAACAGTAGGAAAATCTGTATTGATTAGATGTTTGGAAATGGAATTTACCTTTTATATTCATACCTATGTATGTCTAAAATAGTAACAAAAGTGAAGAGTCAAAAAATGATTAGATTAGGCAATGTAAAGAAAACATTTGACACATGGGAAACATGCAAGGAAAAGGAGGGGCGAAATTGCATGAATGGTTATATTGCTTTTCCGTTCAACAGACATTTACTAAATGCCTATTATGGTCCAGGCTTTTAAAAATCCCTCCAAAGATTAAAAGCAAACAGCACAGAAGTAGAATAAGTACAGATACAGGAATTGTAAAGTCAAGATTTTACCCCCATCTCCCACCCCACATATACATCCAATCACTGACTCACCCTTAAAGAAGTCACTTAGGAACTTTCTAATTTTCCATGTTCTTTAAAATAAGAAGCAGGCAAAGAAAGTTAGACAGGAATCTCTAAAGTGCCTTTCAGGATGAAAATTTCAGATATTATCTAAAAACAAATGTTCTACCATACCATTTAACTTTTCCATATATTTAACTGCCCATGAGCATTTTGGTATATATTAGAAACTAGATTTTAGTATTCACTATTTCACAGCCATAAAGTCACACAATTTCTTTATGTGCAGCTTGCATACTTTGTATGTGATGATCCCACCACTCTGGTCTCTGCTGACTACTGGTTATGAGTATATTGGACTGCATGATGTAAGTGTTCTGCCTACCAGGGAGCGCTATACAAAACATAATCGATTCTCTCTAAAAATTTTTGAATACAAGACATTAAAAAGGTAAGTAAATAAGGGGATTGCAATTGTATGGGATATATAAAAATAAAATTTATTTAAAAAATAAATAAATAAATCTGCCTTATTTCAACTTGAAAAAAAAAAAAAGGTAAGTAAAGCAAAAAAGGGGAACATTGCTTAGTCAAATCCTTATTTAGTCATGTTTTAAAACAAGTAGCTCTAAATAACAGGGTGCTTTTTATGCACTTAGAAAGTCCCTAGAATAACTCAGTCTGAAAAACATTTGTTTTCTATAAGCCTGGCTGTGTGCTTGCTGGAACTGTTCCTTTCCCTTCTTACTTTCTGGTCTACTCTCACAATAAACTCCATTATCTAAGATAACTTGAGTCTGTCTATGCTTAGTACAACGTGAAGTCATAAAAGGTAATTACTATTGGAAGAGTGCTAACAACATCTAACTTTTGACTTCATAATACAGAATTTTACCATTGACTTTCCTTCTGCTTCAAAAGGTGTTTTTGATCCCCACTACTACAAAATAGCTTTTTTGGAAATGGATTCCTAAAATGATCATGAGTAATATTAAAATTTCTTGTAATTAAATTTTAAATAAAGAGATCACATACGACAGTTAAAGTAGTATTGGAGCAATAAACAGTGTATCATGGAAATTAAATCTCAAGAGATAAGAAACCAGAGTTCTAATTTCCATTTTAATTTTTATAATATGATCCTTGGGAAGTCACATCCTTAAAATTGGAAAAATAATATACTATTTACCTGATGGTAGAACTACGTGATTTCTTGACTTCTTCCCCATCTCTAGAGACAATGATTCTCTTGATTAGATAAACAGAACTCTACTCTAACCTCATTCTTTTTTTCTGTGGCAAGGAAGTTGCATGAACTAAGCGCATACCCAAAAATGTCTAGAGTCAGAAATAAATAGCATTCCATACCACAGGTCTAACATACTCTAACTGCAAAAAATTCTATCATAAAATCTCTAACAATAAGTTAAAAATACAGCCAGCTGTAGAAGCTAAATGTTATCATTGACTCCAAAAAATATTTTGTTCTTTTTAATTTGAGGTTGAGTAGCTTTTATTTTTAAATAAAATTTAACGTACTACAACACAATGAAATTGCACTGTGAAACAAAAGAACATGGAAAAGCATTTCATTCCTTTATGTTGACTCTGTTAATTTACTTTTTATAGAGGCATGTTATTTATTTATTTATTTATTTGTTTGTTTTGTTTATACATGCACTGGGTAATGAGAGAATTGAAGTACACTGCTGTCTGCGCGCCACCCTCCTTTCGATTCGCTCAACCGCTGCGCCACCTGGGAGGCCCTGTTAATTTACTTTTTATCTGAGAAGAAATTTCTCTCTTACAATGATTCCTACTCATTAGGTGGTAACATAATGAAAATTTTATTCAAGTGGCAATTAATTGCTACTTCCCCCTTGCTATTTTTATTCCATTTCCAAACAATTTTTATTAAATAAATCTACTAGATTTTAAAAGCTTATATAGATATGTAACACCAAAAATGATTTTGAGAAAAATAAGTTTTTATCAATAGCCATGAAAACCATTTCTTCTGTACATTTCAATTTAAGAATAAAAATAAAAGCAAATTGTCCTCATAAAGTCATGCTGTTTCCAATTATTTGTTAAGATAAGGACATACCTCTGCTTCCATGTGATAAGCATTTTCCACTCTTCTAAATTCCTTCATTACAGTTACATTTTCTGCCTGAAACAGTATGCAGAAGAGTATGATTACTAAATGATTGACTACTAGATACAATTACTCTAAATCATAAATTAGAAACCTAAATTTACTAAACTCAGAATGATACAATAAATGCAGAAAGAACTGGTTTTCCGGATGTTTTCATACTTTCCTACAAGTAACACAAATTCAGATTCTTACAAATATTTGCTGAAAAATTTTCATCATAATTGTCATTCCATTTGCAGCAATTTTTACAATCATATACAAAAAAGTATGAACTTAGGGTGATTCAAGTAGGGGGAGTTATTTGTATATAAAGTAAGCTGAATGTTTTAGGGGTATTAGGGTTTTAAAATGTATGCAACTTTGCCCAAGTGGCAAGCTGCAAAATCAACATAAAAATTCTGCTGTGTTCCTATATACAAAGAATGAACTAGAAGAGAAAGCTATCAAGTAAACAAAACCATTCACAATGGCAAAATAAAAAAGGAGAAAGAAAAGAAATATCTCAGAATTAAAATAGGACATGGAAAGATCTATATAATGGAAACTGTAAGACATTGTTAAGGGAAATGATAAAAGGGAATGGAAAGAAAATCCACACTCATGGATTGGAAGAATTAATATTGTTAAATTGGTCATCTTATCCAAAGCAATATTAATACAACCATATCAAAATTGGTATTCTTTGGGAATACCAAAAATGGTATTCTTTGGGAAAATAGAGCTGAAATTTGTATGGAACAACTAAAGGCCTGTATAGCCAAAGCAATTCTGACAAAATGGAATGGAGGTATTATGTGCCCACACTTCAAATTATACTATAAAGTTAATCAAAACAGTATGCTACAGAATAAAAACAGACACATAGATCAATGCAAGAGAATTGAGAGTCCAAAAATAAACGCATACTTATATGGAGAGTTAAGTTACAACAAAAGGACCAAGAACATAGAGAAAGGAAACTTTATTCAACAAATGGTATTGGGAAAACTGGACAGCTGTATGCAAAAGAATGAAACCAGACCACTCTCTCACACCACACACAAAAATTAACTAAAAATACATTACAGAATTGTGCGTAAGACTTGAAACAATAAAATAGGCATAGGCAGAACACTCCATGACATTGGTTTCAGCGCTATCTTTGGTGGAATGCACAACAGTGGCAAGGGAAGCAAGAACAAAGAAATGAACTACATTAATTTAAAAAGTTTCTTCACAGCAAAAAAAGAAACTATCAATAAAACAAAGAGACACCTTATTGAATGGGAGAAAATATTTGTATATCATACATCTGACAAGGGGTTCATATTCAAAATCTACAAAGAACCCATACAACCACAGAAAACCACAATTTAAAAAAAGGGCAGAAGACCTAAATAGACACTTTCGCAAAGAAGACATACAGCCATTATACATATAAAGATAGCCATTAGACACATAAAAAAATCCTTAATATCCCTTATTATCAGGTAAATGCAAATCAAAACCACAATGAGATAACCATCTCACACCCGTGAAAATGGCACGTTATCAAAAAGGCAGGTACAGCAAATGTTGGTGAGGGTATGGCCCAGCTACACTGTGGGGAATGTAGCTGGTCCAGCATGGAGGTTTTCAAAAATATTAAAAATAGATTTACCATATGGTCCAGCAATTCCGCTCCTAGGTATCTACCTGAAGAATACAAGCATACTAATATGAAGGGATATATGTACTCCTGTGTTCACTGTAATATAGCCAAGCTACGGAAACAACCAAAGTGCCCAAATATAGGTAAGTAGATAAAGAATATTACTCAGCTATATATTTATATAAGAAAATGAACTTTCATCATTTGTGACAAAATAGATGGAAGTGAAGGGGGTTATGCTAAGCAAAATAAGAAAGACAGATACTAGATGATTTCAGTCATGTGATATATAAAGACACAAAGGGATATTTTAAAAAAAGCCTTGAAATCTGACTCCAAAACAGGGTACCAGAAGGTTAGAATGGAAGAAATGGAGGGAGAAGGCCCCACTGAAATATGGTGGATGATGGGTGCTTTGGTGGTGAGCCTGGAAGGATAACACATATCTGAAGAGGTGTGAATCTATACCCCTAAGTCATATAGTGTTATAAACTCTTATCTCAATAAACATAGTAAGTTTTTGGGTCTAATTTCGTTTTTTCATTTTATTGATATATAATTGACACATAACGCTAGGATTACTCTTGCTGATGTCTATTCTATGGGCTTAGAGAAATGATGACATGTAGCCACCATTACACTATCATGTGGAGTACTTTTGCTGCCTTAAAAATCTGTGCTCCTTGGGCCTCCCCGGTGGCACAGAGGTTGAGCGCTGGGTTGCAAAGCTGCCAGCGACCTCTGCGGCGCCGGTTCAATCCCCGGCTGCTCCCCGGCCACCTGAGGAGGGTCCCACATGGCGCGCAGACCTCTCCTGCCACCCGCTGCTCCCCTCAGCAGTGTACTTCGGTCCTTCTGCCTGCTCTGCTCCCCGCTCTGGCTCTGGTGAATTCTCTCACCCTCCCGCGCTTCTGACTGCACCCAGTGCATGTATAAACAAAACGAACGAACAAACAAACAAATAAATAAATAAAAACATGCCTCTATTAAAAAAAAAAAAATCTGTGCTCCACCTTGTCATCCCTCTTTTCCTGCTAACCCTGGCAAATACTGATATTTTTATTATCTCCATATTTTGTCTTTTTTCCAGAATGTCTTATCATTGAAATGTTCCAGCATGTAGTCTTTTCAGATTGTCATTTTTCACCTAATAGTATATATTTAAGTTTTCTCCAGGTCTTTTCATGACTTGATAGTTCATTTCATTAGCACTCAACATTCCAGTCTAGATGTACCATTTTACTTACCTACTCACCTTCAGAGGGACATCTAGGCTCTTTCCAAGTTTTAGCTATTAAATTCTCTTTTCTTTTTTTTTTATGATTTATTTATTTATGCATACAAGAACTGCGGTACAGGCCAGAGGTGCGAGGGATCAGATGATTCACCAGACACAGAGTGGGGAACAGAACAAGCAGACTGATTGAAATACACTGCTGAGGGGAGCAGCGGGCAAGACAGGAAACGTCTGCTGCACCATATGGGTTAGCACCCTGGCTGGGGATAGAACTTGTGCGGCAGTGGCTGGGGATAGCTTTAGTGCTGACACTTAACCCCTTACACCACCAGGGAAGCCCTAAATTTTTCATTTTGTTAACAATGTCTTTCACAAAAGCGCAATTTTAATATTGATTATGCCCATTTTTTTAAAAAATGGACTGTCCCTTTGGTAATGTATCTGAAAACTCATCTTCAAACTCTAACTCACATAGGTTTTCCTTTATTCTCCTCTAGAAGTTTTGTGTTGTACATTTAGGTCTATGATCTATTTGGAACATATTTTGCATAGAGTGTGAGGTATAAGTCAAGGTTCACTTTTTGCTTTTATGCCCCAAGTTCTTTTCTCTTTGATAGAAAAAAAAAAAATCTTAAAAGCAGTAAAATACTTACATAGTTTGGCCTATGGTTCCTGAAAGGAAACGTGTGTAGTTTATTAATTTTTTTTTAAAAGATTGATTTATTTATGCATACAAGCTGGGGTACAGGCCAGAGGTGGGGGTGGTGAGAGGATTCAGAGACAAAGTGGGGAGCAGAACAGGCAGACTGACGGAAGTACATTGCTGAGGGGAGCAGCGGTCGAGACAGGAGAGGTCTGCTGCACCATGTGGGTCACCTCCCTGGCTAGCCGGCGACCAAACTCATGCTGCAGAGGCTGCGGGTTGCTTCATAGTGCAGTGCTTAACTCCTTGCACCACCAGGGAGGCCTGAAACGTGTGTAGTTTAAAACCAATTTACAAGAGTTAATCTGGTCATCAATGAAGTCACATGTTTGATAAATTGAAATTTCAAATAATATTATAGGGAATGGAGAAATAAAGATTGTTAGCCATCAGACTGTGAAGTTCTGATCTGAACTAAAGAAAGGATGCAGGCAGAAACTGAGTAGAGTTTCTAACAGAATTAATTGAATTATGACCACAAAAATAATTAATATTTTTTTTCTGCTTGGTTGTTGGAACTTTATTGAAGGCAACGCCAACCTAAGTTTAATCCTCTGGGATTCCTATGGAAAAAAAAAAGTAATATGGGAATTAACCAAATTCCCATTTTGCTGATCCTTTCTTGGAACTATCCAACTACAGATGTTCCTGGTAGCATTTAGGTGGTGGGCTTACATACGAAGTATGAGGCTTTTTATCTATAGGGCAATGGTTCTCAGCCAGAGGGGACATTTGCCAAGGTTTGGAGATGTTTTCTGATCGTCACAATGAGGTAGGGGGAGTAAACTGCTGTCATCTAGTGGGTGGATGGGGTGATCACATGTCCTTATTTCCTTATTTGCCTGGAACCGAAAAGTTTCCTTAGACATGGGACTTTTAGTTGTAAAAAATGGGGATAAAGTGATTACTTATGTGTAGGGTTCAGGAGTGCAGCTAATTTTCTACAATGCATAGGACAGCCCCTTACAATAAATTATCTAGTTCAAAATGTAAAATGTTGAGATTGAGAAGTCCTGCCACACTGTGCACAAACTAAAAAATATTAAAATATCACAGCCTAATTCAATAAGGCTTCCCAATTACCCTACTTGGAAGTTATTTCATATAAGCAATTTTATATCTAAATGCAAAGGGTAGTTTTATTTTTTAAAGATTTTATTTTTTTATTTATGCATATAAGAACTGGGGTGTAGGTCAGAGGTGTGGGGTAAGAGGATTCACCAGAGACAGAGTGGGGAGCAGAACAGATCTATTGAAATACACTGCTAGGTGAGAAGTGGGTGAGATAGAAGAGATATATTGCTCCATATGTGGTTAGCTCCCTGGCCGGGGATCTGGGATTGAATTTAGGCTGCAGTGGTGATAGCATGATAGTGCTGAAACTTAACCCCTATACCACCAGGGAGGCCCCAAAGGGTAGAGTTTCCAAAGACAAAATGATTAATACAGGTGTAACTATGAATCCTATAACTATGAATCTTAAGAAGGAAGCAAGAAAATATTCTATGTTGTTATAGGAATAAACTTTTTTAAAGGGTAAAGAAGAAGAAAAAATGAGTTTTTGGAGAAAATATTTGACTAGATGCGGAGGTAATACTATCAAATCAATAATTATCCTGAAATTAATGTATAAATTTAATGAAACAGTGCTACAAGCAAGTAATGAGGGGAAAAGTTGTTCAATAACGGTTTTACAAAGACACAGTACTTTAAACATCATGGAAATAATACGGGACTATAACAAAGTTCAAAAGAACTAGTATTCTGAAACTAATCCAAGAATGTCTGAAGACTGTAAATACAAAACCAGTACTATTTCAGAGTAATAGGTCCAACAGTAACATGGAGTCCCCATCAAACTCTTGAGTACCAACTATGTGAGTACCAACCATGTGGTTCAAGGTAAGTATGGATAGGTCTAAACTATTCAGGGTAATCACATCTAATTTGCCATAGGATTAGATTAAAAAAAAAAATCACCAGAAATTCAAATCTGTGATTGCTAAATGGCATTTCTCTGGCCCCAAAGTCAAGTTTATGTCATTCTTTTAGAATAAACTATAGGCAATTTAATTTTTATGTGGTTGTAGGAAATAAGAACTACTGTTTTTCTGATACTATATGTGACAGGTTTGGGAATGCAATAGTCTTTTTTTGGTATTGTGTAGGAAGTTCTAAGTAGAGTCAAGAGGACTGCATCAGAATAGAGCTTTGAAGATTGCATACCTGCAGCCCATACAACTTGACTTTAAAGTTATATAAAACAATACTTTTTATTTTTAAAGGGTATATACATTCTATGTTCATTGCAATACTATTTACAAAGCCAAGTTATGGAAACAACTTAAGTGTCCAATGGCAGATGAGTCGATTAAGATGTGGTGTGTATGCCATTTATTGGATGGAATTGGAGGTAATTATACAAAGTGAAATAAACCAGAAGGAGAAAGCCAGATACTGGAAAGTGTCATTTAAATGTGGAATATAGAGAAACAAACTAAAGGGTCAGACGAAACCAAACCAAAAATAAACCCTAGAAATCTGACCATAAAATGAGAATACCATAGATGGAATGGGATGGTAGAGAGCAAAATGGGGAGAGTGCCATAAGACTATGTTGGACAAGGGTGTCTTGGTATAGGTGTGGTATCATACGTTTCAAGAGGTGTCAATCTATACCTCTGAACCATATACTGTGTTGTAAATCAGTGTTACTTCAATTCATAAAAAAAGGTAGCTTGAGGTAAGATCTTATACATAAAGTAAGGGATAGACAGACTTCAATAAATGATTTCAGTACGGAGATTGAGAAAACAAAAAACCCTTCTGCTAAGACCAAAATAAATTCTAAAGACAGCAAATATTTAATGCACTGTAAAGGGTTCTTAAAGATGTTAGGAAAAATTAGTTAATGGTTATATAACCTTATATAATGGGATTATAGCAATAAGCATCATGCCAAAGGCAAAAAAATACAAAGAAATGGCAGATAATTGGGAGATTACTGATCTTATACATCTTGTGCTGAACAAATTAGTTTTATTAATTTGTTGGTGGTTTACATATTTATGTAACTTCATCTGCACATGCACATATGCTTTACTTGCCCTCCATTAATACCCCTTCCTACCCCTAGGCCCTCTTCCCTCTCACCTTTTCTCTCTGGTGACCAGTATATTTTTCACAAGGTCTAAGAGTTATTTTTGCTGTGCTTTGCCAGTATGTGGACACCATATCTGAATGTATTGACTGTAGCTTGTACATAATAATTTATTTTGCCTTATATACTCGAAGTTACAGCCATGTGAGTGCAATATACAGTTTATGTAAATAACTTAAGAATTAGTTATATTATTCAAAGAGAACTGTGGGACTTGCACCAGGTTTTTTTGAGAAAAATAATTTTCTACATATTATAAAAATTCTATATATTCATTTATAGTTAATATTTGAATTTTTCTAAAGTATAAAATTATTCAGAGACGTCTTTTCCAAATGAGTTTTTAAGCAACTATGTCTATAAATGCAGTACAAATGTATTTTGCATGTTAAAATAAAGACTTGCTTTTGGATGTGTCATTTTAAACAACAGACTGGAAGCAAGTAAGTCTGCACTTTCATGAACTCATGTTACATATTACACAGGTAAGTCAAAACTCTGGTTTTAAGATTACATTCTGTAAAAATGAGATAACTGATTTCTGTGGTTTCCAGTTTTCTTTCATTTTAATTACATGGAGCCACACATACTTGGAAGCAATCTAGCAAATCTTGGCGTGGCTGTAGGAATACGGGAGTTGTTCAACCCTGGTTGAAGTTCAAAGCTTTACTTAACCTCTTTAAACCTGAAAAGTGAGGATATTAAAACCTGCCTAACATGGCTGTTGTGAGAATTAAATAAGGCTGGTTTATTTTCTTCTTTTCCTCGAGCTTTAGGGAAGATGTATTTGGTGATTTTGTGTCAAGGACATCTCTGGGATATACATGGCATTTACAATTACAGGTTTAATTTTTTTTTTTAAAGTTAAAACTAAAAAAAGTTGGAGAAAAATTTTGAGTATAAAAACGAAAATGGATGTTATCCACCCCATGCCCCTCCATCCTTGCGCCCCCATGTTACTGTTTGCAGGAAAAAAAAAAACAAAACTGAACCACTCCATGCAAATTGACTTTATGAGGTTAGGAGGAAGCAGGCTAAACTTTTCACTTGCTAACTCTCTGGTGCTGAACAAAAATAAAATATGATTAATGTCTAACACACTACGTAGTCAACCATTTACATCAAACTGTCAAATTCAGTAATAATAATTCAAGATTTAAAACAAAACGTCTGCAGTAAATATCGCCAAATAAAGCCCACCCAATTTGCATTCTTTTATTACACAGGTCAGGACGACCAATAACTGTTCTCATCTAGGAGACGGGGCAACGCTTCACTCTGCCAGGTCTTGGCGACTTGCAATGCCGATGTGACAAAGGCGTTCCAGAAGCCCAAGTGCCTCCTCAGCAACTCCCCGCCCCGGCTCCAGGCGCCCAGTTTTGCGGTCCAGCTCCAAATTTCACCACCGCGGAGCTCTCACCTGCAGCCCCTGCTGCTGGAGGCTCTGCGTGATGTAGTCCAGGCGGCGGCAAACACTCTTCTTGGCCTCAGCGGCCACCTCCTTGGTGCTGCTCACCCTCACCGCCACCTGCGCGCGGTCGGGGCTCGCAGACACCTCGGCGCTCCCGCTTACGTGCACCTCGCGCGCCGCGGCCTGGCCCTGTGCTGAGGGGTCCCGGGGGCGGCGGAGCCCGGGCAGCGTCTCTCCTCCCGAGACCAGGTTGTTTTCCCGTCCCCGGTCAGCCCAGGGAACTAGTTCCACGAATATTCGCGACGGAGGGGCTTGCGGCAGCGACATGGTGATGGCGGCGGGATTTCCATAGTAACGCAGAGTCTACGGCGGCCGAGAAGGCCAAAGCGCGCCGCGGCGCGCCCGAGCGCGGCGCAAAGAATGCTGGGACGGGCTTGGAGTTCCCAGAGCGCGTCCTGGGCGCTAGGTACGCTTTGTAGGTTTTGCTGCAGCTCGTTGATAAAGTGTTGGTGGAGAGCGTCGCTGGAGAGTTTAACGTGTTTTCTTCACTGTTTAAAGCATTTTTAGCACTCTTTCTCTGCGCCAGGTGGGATGGCGTTCAGGTTTCCCATGCCAGGGCCTGCGATTAGCTTCAGGTTTGCCTTGTCTAACTTCACCGTCCTTTTTGGGTACAGCTTTTTGGGGATCCAGCGAGTCAGTGCGCGACAGATTTCTCTTGGAATGCCACGGTTTTGCCTATTCGGCCTTGAGCAGTTTATGATTCATTCAATCTCAATTTTAGAGTCTCTAAGGCATATTGATGTTACATTTGCCCAAGGCATGCAGAGTGCTTGGCATAGGGAAATAGAAAACGACTGATAACCAGTAGTAATAATCGCTGTTTTGGCATGATTTCCCAGACTCAGATTTGATTCATCCTTGAACATGGACAGGAGAGATCCGAGCAGTATCAAAGCACATTCAACATGGGCGTTGCTGGGCCTGTATGACTTAGAGCTTCTCACCTTTTTCTTGAGAAAGTATACCTCAGCTCTCAACCTCCCCTCTTTCACTCACCCTCTATTTGGTGTTTTTTCTTCTTACCAGTAAGTAGTGATCTATGTAAAGATAACTACTCTTTTCCGGTGGAAAAGAGAAATTTTAATTATTTTTTACTTAATGGACAATATTCTCTTGAAAGCATCCTGCAAAGCCACTGACAGCTCTCATGTAGTTTTTCTCTATCGTTTAACCCTCTTTGATTAGTGACATAATTCAACTAAATCATACGGTATTCCCTCATCTCATCACTGGGTTAAAGTAATTTTAGAGTAAAGTAGTAATATATGTATTTAGATGTTTTCTGTTAACAGAAAAAATTTTATGATTATTTTAATTTGAAAACTAACTTTACAAGCTTTTCCCTCTATAATGTTTACAATTTCAGACACCCTAAATAATGTTTCTTGAATTTGGTTGAAATTTTTTTCTCCTAGTAATAAATATGGAGAAATATAATCTCTAAGATTAATTGTTGAGGGAATGTCATAAGTTAAAGGCAACAGGAGTTTTAAGTGCATATAAATACTTAGGATAAGATAAAAGTGATTTCAAATAAATGAAAATAAATACAGGGATAATCAGCTACATCGAAGACTGAAGATCAAATTCCAATGAGAAAAAAAGAATTGGAAAAAAATATAGGTGAACACAATACTGGGAAATAGGAGGGCCTCTGTCAGCACAGTTTCAAATGCAGCGGTCATCAGGAAAAATTTGAAAAATATTGACTAAACTAAAAGTTCTGTATATAAAACAAAACTAAATGGCAAGAGGGGCAAGTAAATTGGGAAAATATTTGTAACACATATTATGTATAAATGGTGAATAGTACAAGTAGTTAACAGCATTAATATTCAGAGAGTTCTTGCCAGAAGAAAATTAAAGCAGAGTGGTTAATGAATCCAGAGAGGCAAACTGTATTATTCAGATGGGGGTGCTGTAACAAAATTTTACAAATTGGGTGGCTGAAACATCAATTTATTTTCACACAAGTTGTTGACAGGGCTGGTGTCTCCTGTGGTCTTCCTCCTTGACTTGCAGATAAGCTCATTTTGGGCCTCACATAGTCTTTCCTCTCTGTGCAAACATCCCTGTCTGTTTTTATAAGGGTACAGTTCTACTGGGTTAGAGCCCCATCTCTAAGACTTCATTTGCCCCTACTTTCCTCTTTAGGGCCCTGTCTTTAAATACAGTCCAAATTGAGGGTTTGTGCTTTCACATGTGTAACACAAACCAGTAAAGCAGAAACATTAATAGTATATAACATGAGTGGGAAAAACCTCACTAGTAGTAAAAGAAATGCAAATTTAAATTTAGTGAAATATCCTTCTTATTAGCTACCATTTTGGCAAATAATAAGGGTAGTAGGAATGGAGAAGATATAAATAAAGAGTAATTTGGAAAGAATGGAATAATTCTTGGTGAGAGAACTATAAACTCAATAATAAGGATAAGTCCAAACTGACTTACAAGCTTTTGGTCTGGATAACTGATTTAATTTTCTCTCAGAGTTGAGGTTAAACCTCTAGCCACCATCCTGAATAAGGATTGGACCCAGAACTGGCACCCAATTCAAATTGGGACAGTTAGAGATTTTTTTTTTTGTTTATTTTGGTTTGTTTTTACATGGCAACCTATATATTTTAAAAATTGGGTTTCTCAGATGATTGGAAAATGTCATTTTGCACATACCATTTCCACTAGAAAAGCAGAAAATGCCAGTGAATAGAGAAAAAGGAGGGAGAGGGAAGAGAGAGAGAGAGAGAATATAAATCATACATCCAGAGGAACAGAGATGAGATAAAGGGATCCATACACAATTCTAATTTCTGTTTCTAGAATTTTCTTGAGACAAGGTTTCATTCCTGCCTTGGAGTTCTATAAAATTCCTATGTTCTTGGGCCTCCCCGGTGGCGCAGCGGTTGAGCGCTGGGTTGCGAAGCTGCCCGCAGCCTCTGTAGTGCTGCTTCAATCCCCAGCTGCTCCCCGGCCACCAGAGGAGGGTCCCACATGGCGCGCAGACCTCTCCTGCCGCCCGCTGCTCCCCTCAGCAGTGTACTTCGGTCCTTCTGCCTGCTCTGCTCCCCGCTCTGGCTCTGGTGAATTCTCTCACCCTCCCGTGCTTCTGACTATACCCAGTGCTTGTATAAATAAATAAAAAAAAAAAATCTTAAAATTCCTATATTCTTAACATCCCCTCTTCCTCTTGTTTTTTTTTTTTGGCATAAGATGCTTGATATTAAAACTAAAAATATTAACTGATAATGGATAAGGAGAATTCAGAAGCTGACTAACATAGCTTTCAACCTTAAGGAATTTATAGAGCTCCATACAAAGTAGATCATGGGGTACACTGCTCAAGGCTTCAACCTTTGGAAAAAATTTTGCCCTCTACTATCATTCTGAGACACCCTGAGTGTTACTGCCTTGCCACTGCTTTCCATTTTCCTCTGGAATCTGTTTATTGAGCCAACCTAGCCATAAGCCCATCTGTAAAAGCTTAGAGCCTTTAGCTGTTCATACTAGAACTCTCATGTAACTATTAGAGTCGAGAGAGTTACTCTGTTGCTATCTAAGTGTGTGATATGGGAATCTGAGTTAACTACTTATGCAACTTATGCATTTTGATACTGCTCATGCTTTTTGTCCCAATGTCCTGTTTTCATCTTTTGATGGATTTGTTGTTGGACAGGCTGCCTGTGTTATCCAGGTTCATCATGGGCAATTCTTAACATCTTTTATAAAGCCTGTCAGAAAACAATGGAGCAATGTGTTCCATGTGGCATACTGAGAAAAGTTAAATTAACCTCAAAATGTGTTTTAAATTTTTCCTCAAGAATGAGAGGGAAATAAAGATATTTTCACACATACAAAGAAGGGAGTTTACCACCTACAGACTCTTGCTAAAATATTAGCAATATGCCTCTGTAATATTAGTGAGAAGGCATGGCATAGGAGAAGCAATAATAATCACAGAAATTGACAACATATGTTCATAAATGTAATTTAATCATTTGTTTAAAATAACTTATTGTTTGGTATGAATGGTGCAAGGGGTTAAGATGCAGCACTATCAAGCTATTGGCAGCCACTGCAGCACAAGTTCAATCACCAGACAGGGAGCTCACCCACATGGTTTAGCAGACCTCTCCTGTCTCGCCCGCTGCAGTGTATTTTAGTAGATCTGCCTGTTCTGCTCCCCACTCTGTCTCTGGTGTATCCTCTCACTACCCTTTTCCCCTGCACCTCTGGCGTATACCCCAGCTCTTGTATGCATAAGTAAATAAAATAAATCTTAAAAAAAAAACTAGACAGTTACAGCAAGAGAGGAGGAGAGACATTTATTGCTTTTGATTTAAGCATCTTAAGGTCCTTGACTTATTAAAAAATAGCCTAGTGATGATGAATTACTTTAGACTTAGTTATAAATCCTAGTAGTTAATTATGGTAAAAAAATGAAGAAATTAAAGGAGGTAGAAAAAGCTCAAAGACGTAATAGGGAGGTTAAGATAGCAAATGTTATGGAACCACAGAATGGTAAAATTTCAAAAAGAGACAGATAATTTATAATATCAAGTGATATAATATGGAGAGATAAAAAAGTTGAAGATGGAAACATATCTATTGAAAATAATATTTTGAAGATTATTAATGACCTTAAAGTCTTGTTTCATTGGAAACTGAATGACATAGGGTTAAGGCATGGTAATTGGAAAAAGGAGAAAGATAAGTATTTGTTAATACTGTCTGAAGTTAGGATTTTATTTTTAAGAAAAAGTAATTGGATTCAGGCTTTGCAGTAATGAAGGGAAATAATATCTCTTAATACCTCAGACACTGAACATAGCTCTTTTCTGTCTTTTCTCATTTCCAGGTTTGTTTTTGCTTTCTTACATGTTGCAAATATTTATCTTTTGGTACCCTAAGTGATACAGGTAGAGCAGGCATAGAGTGGGGGTAGGGTGTGCAGTGTCTATAAGGACAGTTAGGTTTTTTTACTTTCTCCCTGCCTTTCTTATATAGTGTCCCAGAGTCTAATGATTACACCTACATCCTGACAGGTGTAATCAGAAAAAAGTACTTCTTTAAAAAGTACTTCTTTAAAAGTATATCTTTACTCTCATAGGGAAAATAAAATTGAGACTGCCTCCCTCTGCTGTATCATTTTGTGAGGCTGGGTTGTCCTGTTTGCTGCAGAATTGAAAACCCCTGTGCATGTACTTGACTGACCTCTTGGACACCAGTTGTACAGGTAAGCTTTTGGTTTAAATCTTTTCTCATCTATCCATGTTTTCCCTAATCCATTTCACTTCATTGGTTTTCTTTGGTATTATATCTGGCTTATTATTCTTGGTTTTCACGTGTTTGACTGCATAATGTAACTCCTTAACATTTTAATTACTTAGGCAAAGTGCTGGATGTCTCATTTAATTAGGGGAGAAGTAATACTTTATAAATGAAGCTATTATAGTAATGGTAACAATTATTACTTGTAATTATATCTTAACTGATTTAGTCTGTTGTATTCAGGAGAGTAAAAAAACGTTTGACAGTTTGTTTATAAATTTAAGCCATGAAACTATCATTGGGGTAGAGACAGTTTCTTCTTGATATTAGTTCTCTTTGAAAAAGTAGATTAAGCTTTGCCAGTAGATATTTCTTTACTGCTTTCTGTAGCTATTTATAGATTTCATTTCTGCTTTCCTTATCTGCCCGTGTGTGTGTGTGTGTGTGTATATATATATATATATACACACACGTAAGCTGTTGAATCTTATCAAATGTTTCTCTGCATCTATTGATATTATCATATGATTTTTATCGATACTTTTGTTGATATACTGTATTACATTGATTGACTTACATATATTAAATCATCCTTGCTTCCCTGGAATAAATCCCATTTGATCATGATGTATATATGATGTATATCTTAGTGAAATGGATTTGCTAGTATTTTGTTGAAGCTTTTTGTGTCATTGTTCATCAGGGATATTTGTCTGTGATTTTCTTTTCCTAAGCTGTTTTTATCTGATTTCAGTATTAAGGTAATGTTGGCATTGCAAAGTGTATTTGGAAGTGCTCCCTTTTGGATTTTAGAAATAATTTAAGCAGGATGGGACTATGCACTTCTTTAATGATTTAATAGAAGTTGTTTGGGAGATTTTTTAAAAATTACTGTTTCAGTTTCCATGCTTGTGATTGATTTATTCAGTTCTTCTGTTTCTTAAGGGTTTAGTCTTGGTCAACTATATTGATATAGAAATTTGTTCATTTCCTCAAGTTTATAGAATTTATTGACATATAATTGTTCATAGTAATGTCTTTTGATCCTTTGCATTTTTATGCCATCTGTATTAGTTTCTCCTCTTTCATTTCTGATTTAATTTCATTTCTATTTATTAATATTTTCTCTCCTTTTTGTTAGCCTACCTATAGCTTTATCTATTTTGTATATCTTCTTTAAGAACCTCTTAGTTCCATTGATCTGTTGTACTATCTTTTTGATATGTATTTCATTTACTTCCACTTTGATTTTTATTTTATCTTGTTTGTTCCTCTTTTTCAAGTTGATATATATATGAAAATGTTATAAATGACTACTACTAGAGTTTCATTTAGAGGACTGTCTTCATTTAGGAAAATGACTATAAAATTCTGTGAGTGTGTAAGGTAAAGCCTCGACAGTGATTTTTTTGAAGGAGATTGCAATGCAAAAAGAGAAGTTATGCACATGGGAGTTATGAAGTTATGGTATGGGAGAAGTGTTAGGCAGAAAGACAAAGGAGGGTGGAGTTAGAGAAAAGGCTACGTAACATAGATAGGAGGCTGGGTCCTGTGGAGAAAGAGAAAAATTCCTGGTGGCATAGCCAAGAACTTTCAATTTACAATATTTAGTGTTGACATTTTGGTAATATAACAACTCACAGCATTGCCTTTTTTGTGTGATGTGGGGTGGGGGTGGAGATCAAAGAAAGAATATTTTTGCAGAACAAAGAGAAACCAAGCATGTGCAAGAGGTGAAATATGTAAGATCAAGAGTTCACCTGAGTAGGAGACAGAGTTGACCATGGGAATGCATGTACACAGTATTAAGGACAGTAGAATTTCTCATGAGAACCTTTTTCAAGGAGAAGGTGAGGCTCTTATCAACAGATCAGATGATTGGATTCATAAGACAGTTATGATGAGACTATTTGAAGAAATGTTTGACACATTGTTTAAAAAAATTACATAAGCACTTGACTTCTAATGATCCTGTATAGTCTTGGGGTGAGGACTTTTGGAGCTGAGACAGCCTTGACTTTGAGGATTATCACCAAGTAATGCATTAGGGAAGTTCTAATAGAAGAAAACTCTTAAATGATACTTAACAGGGAATGGAGGAAAACTGCTTATCTAAAATGCCACTCACCTAGTTAAAGGACAATGTCTGTTAGAGGAAGGCTTGAGTCAAGTCATGTCCTCATGAGGATGTAGTTAAAACATGACAGGTAATTGGTTTTTTTTTTTTAAACTCACAGAAAACATATGTAAGTCACACTACGCTTAGAAAATCTCATTTATTGTAAGAACAGTAAAAGAACAGTCCCAAGGATGCTGAAAGTTGGATAAATAACAGTCTGAGAATGGCAAAGGAATTGAATAAGAAAACAAACTGTATTTTCTTAGAAAGTTCTTAAAAATTTCAGTAGAATCAGGAATACTACTAAACAAGATGTGAAAGTACTCCTGAAATACAATGAATATAAAAAAGTGAGAAAAAAATAGGAAACAGGGCCTCCCTGGTGGCGCAGGTGGTTGAGCGCAATGCTGTGAAGCTGTCTGCAGCCTCTGCAGCGCGGGTTTGATCCTGGCCAGCCACGGAGATACCCACATGGTGCGGCAGACCTCTCCTGTTTCGCCCCCTGCTCCCCTCAGCAGTGTATTTTGTCAGTCTGCATGTTCTGTTCCCCACTCTGTCTCTGGTGAATCCTCTCATCCTCCCACGCATCTGGCCTGTACCCTGGTTCTTGTATAAATAAATAAATCTAAACAAAAATAGCAAACAACTGGCATCATTGAATCTGTCCCTTTTTACTATTATAGTTATTCTTTCTAGACAGTTTTTTTCCTGTATTGTTGCTTCCAGACTGTCCTACCAGAATCAACTGTATTCAGTAGCCACTAAAAAGAAATTTGATCACATACACCAGCAATTTAGAACCTAAATGATCTTTTATAGGAAATTCACATTTCAGATCTGTGAACTTCAAAGGTTTCTTATGAGTTGTTCTGGCTCTCGAACTTCTTGGAATGTGTTTTGATTTCTGTTTCATATATTGTCAAATTCACTAAGTGATTTTCACACACACTGAAAATTTTATCTACACTTCATGGCCAGTTCCCTAGTCATCTACCTATGAAGAAAATGCTCCACTTTCATTTTACTTCCTATTCAGTTCTTTGCCTAAATGCATCAGTTTGTTCAGAAATATCAGGTAATAGAAAGATTCTGAATATTTGAACAATGTGTCTGATATAAGTGTCTTAAATGAATTATCAGCCTTGATAGAGTTATTTTATAATAGAGTTCTTAATAAGATTAAAGTAAATATGATAATATTTCTCTTTAATAATTCAGAAGAAACCAGAATCTTAGAGTGGATTACATTCCACAATACAAGTATATATTGTTATACAATAGCATTGCAAAAAAATTATTAAGGTGTTCTGGGTATTTTTGGATTCTTAATAAATAGGAGAATATGCTAATCTTCAAAACAGAAATGCTGTTTGTCTTTTCCTAATAATTCTGCCTAATTTAAATAATTTATGGAATATTCTGAGGGTTTACCTATCTGCTTAAGGCATTTTAATGGTGAAAAGAACCCATCTCATTGGTTTTGTATTTGTTTGGTGAAGAATCTTCTGAAATTTTATATATTTTTAATAATAGAATGAAATTTTGCTTTTCTAAGCAGATTTTCCCAACATTGCCTTTTTTTAAAAAAAATATTTATTTATTTATTTATGCAAGCACTGGGTACAGTCAGAAGTGCGGGAGGGTGAGAGAATTCACCAGAGCCAGAGGGGAGAGCAGAACAGGCAGACTGATGAAATACACTGCTGAGGGGAGCAGTGGGTGGCAGGAGAGGTCTGTGCTCCATGTGGGACCCTCGCCTGGCGGCCGGGGATTGAACTGGTGCTGCAGAGGCTGTGGGCAGCTTCGCAACCCAGCGCTCAACCGCTGCACCACCGGGGAGGCCCAACATTGCCTTTTTGTAATGTTGGAAAATGGACAATTAAATTGCCTATGATCTTCCTAATCATTTGCTGAAATAAGTATACTGACATGCTGTCAATTTCTGTGAATTCTGCCGTGTTGAAAAGAGAATAGACTTTGGGGTCTTAGTACTTGTGATTGAATGTCATTTAATGGATCTATGACCTTGGGGAATTCATATAGTATCCATGTTCTCCTTTTATTCTTGGACATTGTTACTTATTTTCAGCCTCCCTTGAAGATTATAGCATTTGTATGGAATATTTGCAATACAGGTGAAAGTAAATACATCTAATAAAGGGTCAAAAATCTTCAAAAACTTAAAAATCAAAATTCTAGCAGAGCCCGTTATCCCACTTTTGGATATTTACCCCAAAAATACAAATTTGAAGAGATGGCTGCACACCCATGTTTATTGCAGCATTAGTTACAATAGCCAAGAGCTGGAAATAACCTAAGTGCTCATAGACAGATGGTTGGATAAAGAAGATGTGGTAGACACGCATTGTGGACTACTACTCAGCTATAAAAAACAAAACAAAACAAAATCCTACCATTGGCAAAAATATGGACGGATCTTGAGAAGATTATGCTTACTGAAATAAGTCATATCTGCACTATATAATTTCACACATGTGCTATATAAAAGAACAAAACAAGCAGAAATAAAACAGAAATAAACTTTTAATCGATAAGACAGTTAGTAGCTGTCAAGGAGGGTCGGGACTGGAGGGTGGGTAAATTGGGTCAAAGAGATCAATTGTATGGTGAAGGACTTTTAGTGGTAAACTTAATGTAGTATAGACACACTGACTTTTAAAGATGAACACCTGAAACATACATGCTGTTATAATGCATTGCTACTTCAATAAAAGGCTCTGAGGGCCTCCCCGGTGGCGCAGAGGGTTGAGCAGAGCGGGTTGAGCGCAGTGCTGTGAGGCTGTCCGCAGCCTCTGCAATGCGGGTTCCATTCCAGGCTGGCTAGG